AAGCAGTCAAGTTCATGAGAGTCCTTGTAAGCCATGTAAAGACTGACTCTCTGTAAAGTAATGGAAATTTAGTGATGTAAGCAGGGGAGAAATGTGACTAGATATGTGTTTTAGAATAATAGATATGTGTTTTAGCAATTATTCTAAACTCATATATAATCATACTACTCCCCTGAGTGGAAGGGAAAGGGAGAGACACACAGAGAGAAACATTGATGTGAGAGAGACACATCGATTGGTTGCCTCCCAAGTTCCAAATAGAGGCAAGAGTAAAAGCCTGTACTCTCTTTGCATCTCTGTTGGATTTTGCTGGCTATTCAAGGAATGCTGCTGCTGCCTTATGGTTTCATAGTGTCTGTTATGAAAGCAATTCCTTCAGTATTTGCCTATATCCCTAGAATCCTTTAGAACTGGTGGAGTGAAGGATGGCAGGGAAGGTAGGGAAACAAGATTTGAAACAGATGTCATTTGTCTAGCCCTTCCCATTTTTCTGTAGGCACTCAGGTTAATGTCTTCCTTCAGACAGCCCCACACCTTACAAATTAATGCATGCAGATTGCCTGGTCTATGCCTCCCATTAATTTACCATCCATGTCTTAATATGCTCAAATTCAGAATAAGCCTAAATTGTGACCCAAAAGAAAAGAAACACCTTTCTGTGTTCACCTTTATTGACAAACATATACTGAAAAATACAAGTACAGGGTGGGCAAAAGTAGGTTTATAGTTTTTCATATGGAAAATAATACAACTTTTTGTGTACTCACAACTATAAGCCTACTTTTGCTCCATCCTGAATATATCACTTGCAATTTATACTAAAGTGCATACCCATGTTTTCTCCTCTCAGCTATTTTTCTCTGCTCTCTGCTTCCCCCCTTCTCCCCTCTTCTCTCTCTCTCTCTCTCTCTCTCTCTCTCTCTCTCTCTCTCTCTCTCTTCTCCTTTACATATACACACAACCAGTTACACGTAATTTTCAAGTGTAAGTCAGTGATAGTAAGAAAGGTTACAATTGAGTAAATTAATGCAGGAAGAGAAATTGGGGTTTCATGATACAGATTATCAGGAGAGTGAAGATCTGAATGGTAGCAAAGAAGATCAGATGACTATAAAATGCTTATTCCTATGTGAAAGTTTTGTATTTTTCTGTGCTCTATCTCCTGAAATTATGCTAGCAGCATAAAAGATTCTCTTGACTTTGGCAAATAGTGGTCACATAAATGTTAAAGATCTTCTAATTTCTTGTATATCCAGAAACAAATGGAAAAGGAACAAAGCTAAAAACAAGCAGTTGCCTTTTTAAATCCCCTAGAAAGTGATAATAGAAAAGAAGATGAAGAAAACAAAAGTCATTTATAAAACTACCTAAATGTTCTCACAAGCCAGAATGGATGATATGCCAAGATGCCTTTTCTTTTTTAAGATGCCATTGTTTGATGAAACATTTTAAAATAACTTTTAATCCTGTTAAATATGTTTGTTGAGAAGAGTTTGGTAAACTGTGGGTATTATGTTCAATTTAATGATTCATGGAAAGCATTTACATGTAATAGATTAGAAAACTCTAATGTATATGTATGTAGTTAGGGTAAGTATTGTTATATGAATACAGATGTGTCCTGGGTCATAGTGCAAAATATATTTTTTACTTTAGTTTTTGATTAAAACTGTCTGAAAAACTAAGATGAATTGAGAATATGCAGCAAAAAACAGGACAAAATAGAAGTCACCCATGCTCTCACCACTTTGAAATAGACATTGTTAACATTTTGGTATTTGTTTAACCTTACGTTTTCTGCTTATTATTTACACAAATTAATACTTTTCAAACAGTTTCTAGCTTTGGTAGTTATCAAGGTAGAGCATCCCTAAAACCAAAAAAGAGAGAGCCTCCCTAGCATAGTTCTGTTTATGTGACCCAGGTGTGGTAGATGATCTGTTTTCATTCAGAGGCGCCACAGGAGGTGTGCTGGTGTTGGTGTGCCACAAGAGGCACACTCATGGGCTGCAAAAACTTTTGAAACATGCAATACCTGACTGTTTAGTCAGAGGCACTGACCTCTTTTCCCTTAGATTATCAAATAAAAAAAATGACAACAGCCAACACAACAGTAGCAATCCAGTGTGAATTAATCAGAATTATACCCATTTTTTGTCAAAATGGCAAAAATATATATTTTGTTGTGCCGCAGAATTTTAGTAATTAGTTTATGTGTGCCATGAGATGAAAAAGGTTGAAAATCGTTGTTGGAGAGCATTTGCCTCTGATGTGGAGTTTTTACATGTTGTCTTTTAAGTTTCACAGAGGAGTGTTCACAAATGCATTTAGGTGTTCTAATCCTCTAACAAAATGATGACTTGTTAAGTTGTTCTTACTGTCTTTTAGGTGATTTTCCTGTTTCTTATCCTAGTTAGTAAGTTTAGGCAGGGTTGTTTTGATTTTCATAAAATTACAAATAGCTTTGTCTTTTATAATTATAAATGTTTTTACATTTTCCCTCCTCCCATTGCGGTTTTTTTTTGGGGGGTGGGTTGTGGCTCTTCTGTTGGATACCTTTGTGGTTTTAAATAGTAACAGTAGTGAGCATCTTGTAACTTCTTTCTTTGTACAATTATTAAATTGTACCCTTTAAGTTCTAGTCCCTCTTCTTATCTAATCTCTACTTTTATTTTTATGTAGTCAAGATTGAAATTAGTTTTGAATTTTTTATTCATTTCCCATCAAGACTTCTGATTTTTTTAATTGGATATTGGGTGGGAGATAATACATATTAGTCTATCTACTATGTTGAAGCCACTGGTTTTCATTTGAGTATATTAGTGTGTAAGGCAGTTCTCATACTATAAATATGTAAAAGGTTTACTATTTTAAACAAGAGAGTAAATAAGTTGATTCCTAAAAAGATGCTTGCAAGTTTTGAAATCCTTTATGATGTTTTACTTTGCAGGTACGGAAAACTTTTTTCACCTTAGCATTTTGTGACTTTTGTCGAAAGCTGCTTTTCCAGGGTTTCCGCTGTCAAACATGTGGTTATAAATTTCACCAGCGTTGTAGTACAGAGGTTCCACTGATGTGTGTTAATTATGACCAACTTGAGTAAGTAATCAAAAAAGATTTCTATCTACCATTTTACATTTAACTTTTCTGAATGTGAAACTAGTATGTCTTAGAGTCTGTGGGAATTTTTTGTCCAGTAGAGTTGTTACAGGGAATTTTTTTTTAAGTGTATCTGGAGAGTAGTATGTAGTATAGCCTGTATTTTACTCCAAAATTGTACTTCTGATTCAGCTACACATTTCATTTATGTTTTATATTCTCTTTCAATTAATAAAGATCCCTTACTCATAGAAATCACTTATAGATAGTTTTGGGGAGGAGAGCAGTTGTTGTTTCAGTTAAGTTAACCATTATATTTTTGGACCACAGATCAAAGAATCTGATTCTGTCAGCTATTTTGTAAATTCTGTTTCTCTCTCTCTCTTCCTATCTCTATATCTCTACCTCCTTTAACCCCACCTGCACCCCCAATTTATTTAAAAGTGAGATGTAAAATCTTTGTACCTAGTGTATCTTTTTCTAAAATTTTTATTTGCTTTTTATGCTAGAGTTTCTCTAACAAATTAGACTAAGTCTCTTTTAATCTTTTTGTGTGTTGTAGTTGCTGCTGCTGTTAATGTGTTACTACTTTTCATGATCACTTGAGCAAATAGAATTCAACTCTGTATTTTAAAGTATATTATAATGATGTAATCTGACTTTGCAACAGTTACATTTTCTTCTAATTCCTTAACATAAAGCATGATTTTTCCCTTCTGATATGTAGAAATTTGCTATATAAAACAATTAGTTTTAGATTCTGAGCTTGCCTTTGAAAATGCAATTTAATTTTTAAAAATAAGCCAAAAGCACAACTAATTTAATTTAACAACCATTTCTAAAAATGGAATTTGATCTACAATATTTCTGTTAACTCTATAATGTATTCTGTTGTATGAAGCTTCTGGGTTTTGCACAAGTTAGGTTTGGTTTGTTTTGTTTTTGTTTTTGCCTCACAGTTTGCTGTTTGTCTCCAAGTTTTTTGAACACCACCCAATACCACAGGAGGAGGCCTCCTTTGCAGAGACTACCCTTACATCTGGATCATCCCCTTCCACATACTCCTCTGATTCTTTTGGGTATGATTTGACTCCTGCTGTTCAGTGGCATGCTATTTGAGCTGGTTTCTTTTGGATCTTTGGTTTACTATAAACTTTTTCAACATCTGGATTGTAATAAACTTATTTTATTACACCAGTTAGGTATTTAATATGCATTTGGTATAGATACATGGGATTTAGAGTCCCTGCCTTGTGCTCATCACTTTATTGGGTAATATCAGATATAAAAGTACAGCCGAAACCGGTTTGGCTCAGTGGATAGAGCGTCGGCCTGCGGACTGAAAGGTCCCAGGTTCGATTCTGGTCAAGGGCATGTACCTTGGTTTCGGGCACATCCCCAGTAGGAGATGTGCAGGAGGCAGCTGATCGATGTTTCTCTCTCATCGATGTTTCTAACTCTCTATCTCTCTCCCTTCCTCTCTGTAAAAAAATCAATAAAATATATTAAAAAAAAAAAAGTACAAGACTTCCATTTAGAATTCTAGCATTAACATATGAGACAGTGGCAAACAATAAAAATAATATATAATTAAAATCTATAGTTTATGACACAGTATTTAAAACTATGTGATAAGGTCAAATATTACCATGTTTCCAGGAGAAAAGGATAGTGAGAGAGAGTAGTCAAGATAATTTAATGAAGAAAGTGGGATTTAAATTGGACCTTGAAGAATTCTAAAAGTCTGAATTAGCCTGGGGAATAAAAGCCTGGTGATTGGGAGGCAGGAAGGGGGGGGAGGGGGGAGGGGCAGTTAGAAATAGCATAAATAAAGGGAATAGCAATGGCATGTTTAGGAGATAGTGAAGAGAGCCTAATCTAAGTGGAGAAGAAGTATGTGTAAAACTAGATTAGAGAGTCTGGAATTTACACTACACGTAAGAAGGAAAAAAAGAACTAAAGTGTTTTGAGCAGAGGACTAACCTGATGAAAATTGTATTAAAGAAAGAATCACTTAACAGTGATATACAGATAGATTGATAGAGAAATGTCTATTGTAAAGAAGGCCAACTAGGATGCTGGTTGTGAAAATAGTGAGAAGCAATGAAGACTTGAACTGAAGTAGTAGCAGCATACAGAAGGAATGGATATTCATAATATGTAAAAGAAAAAATTAATAGTATTAGTTGTGGAGGATAAAGAGGTACATAGTCATCCACATATTCAAGTTTCGTACTAGGAAAAAAAAGAGATGATGATGAGTTTAGAAGATGCCGGTTTGCTTTGAAGCATTTCTTACACAGGTCTGTTTACTCTTTCCCTATGGGATTTGAGGAAGTATAAATTATACTATATCTGGAAGCATACAGTTAAAAATAAGTCTGCACACAGCATTCTGTTCTAGACTATTCTAGAGATAATTAAGATCAGAAATATTTATTGTCAGTTTTAACCCTACTTCTTCTCACTTTTCACAATGTAATGCTATTTCTTCTACCCAGAGATATTTAAAAAATAATAATAATAATAAGTTGACACTCAAAATAGGCCTATAATTTTTATGAAGCCAACCTTTCTGGAGATGTAATAGGCTAGAAATTTTAGCAAAAAAACTTGTATTAAGCAGTGGGTGTATTTACTTATTTTGGACAACATAGAAGATGCAACCACTATGTTCTTTTGACAGGTTGTAACAGTTACCCCCTTTGGTGGAGTCATCTTACACCTGCTGTTTCTATCATTTGTATGCAGCTGTATATTTTTAGGAGAGCAAATCAAAATATTATTGTTTTGATTTTTAATGAATCCTTTAACTGTGACATTTGCTCCTGACAGATTCTATAGACTGTGATGCCTTTCTAATGTCAAGTCCCAGTTCTGTGAGCAGAGTTACAGAATATCATAATGAAATTAGTTTGGCCTCTCTGAAAGTTATTAATGGTAATGATGAGTACATTTGCTTACGAGTGATGGGAATGCTAGTTTTAAATTAAGAAACCATTTGCCTATGCCATAGGTACTTCATTCATAGTAATCTGAAGTAGATTCTGGTCTTGAGAAAATTATGGGGAAGATGTTTAAACTTTTGTTTTCCTGATGCTTTTCTGTTATAAGTGTATAGGGATAGTCTGAAAAGGCAGATGCCAATTCTGTTCTATATCAGAATTTCTTTGCATTTTGTTAATAGTCTGGTAACAATCATGATGGCCATGAAACACATATAAAAGTAGATGTAACCAAGACATATTGGAGAAGTGATACATTGCCCAGTTTGGATAAGAAATTAGAGGCACCCACTTTTCTACTTTTAAAAAATTCTTTGGAATGTATACATTATTGAAAAGGCAGCATTTTAAAAGTTGCATATCGCTGAACAGAGGTAGTCACTTTGCCTCAGAATTTTTAATATTCAAGATTAAAAATGAGACCTAAACTAACTGGTAATTTACTGAAGGGTGTTAAAGGTAAAAAAAATTTTATTTTTTATTTGGTACTACTTTAAAGAGGTTTGCAGCAAGATTAAGGTAGACATATCATGAGGTGAAAGCCAGTTTGCTGACTGCCAACATACTTTACATGGTATAAATTGCCTTGGTTTTAGTAAAGAATTGCTAGCATGGAAATTCAATTTTATCAATTCCCAGAAATGATGAGAGAGAGGGATATACTGGTTTACATTAACCAGAATCAGAAAACACTAATTTAGAATGCCAGGTAATTCATTTCAGCGAGAAATAGACCTGTTGTGTAGACCAAACTTCTTTTGTTGGATGGACCAACACTCACCCTACTTTGAAAGATATTTATGTGAAACCAAATTATAATCAAAAGATTGTTTTTGTTAAGGTTGGAATTAGGACAAGGTTCAGATGTTCATGATATCAAGATATAATAACTTGAAGTGTTCTCCTAAATTATAATATACTTGCCTTCAAGGCTAGATAAATTGACTGTGGAACAGTGCATATCATTCCCTGGGTGGTGTTAAATACCAGCTGGAAAATTATATTCTTCCTGGCTTTATGTAATAAGTAGATATCCTTTTTGTCTAGTATATCCATTTTGTCTTTAGATATCATAGTAAAACTTACCAGATTAAATCCAGGGTTTGTTTTTCTTACTTCTGGACTAATGTCCTTTGCATACATATTTCTAATTTGATATATGCTACATATTGCTGTCTTAATTCACTAAGTTTCAAGAATGAGTTGCTGTCACTTATTGATGTCATCAAATCAGTTATATTAATTAGACTATCTTGTAGTTAATTCGGGCTTTTTCTGTCTTCAAGTCCTAACTTAAAGTATGCTATTGCCTTGAGATTTCAAATCAGCCTATATAAAATAGCTTTATAAAAATCTGCACTTTCCTAAACTTTAAAAAAAAAACTAATATTGTCATTTTTATATTCTTTTACCTGCTCCCAAAATCTTTTAGCATAGGGTATACATTTGGCTGCCTAAAGCAAAAGTAAAGACAGCTCTGTCACAAACTAAAAATTTCTTAACAGAATAAAGAGGCCAGTGGAGCATGCTAATTTTCCTAAATGGAATTTTATCAGTCTTTACCTATAATTTTCATTAGGCTAATACCAATTTTTTTTAAAGTACCTAGCATTTTATTATTATTTGGATTCATTTAGTTAATATGAATAGACAAAGTGCATATTTCTTTCCGTACCCTTAATAGTGTGCTTCAGAGAAGTAAACTATAAACTGGTATGATTTAGATTCTGTTAACATGCTCTGTTCTTAAGGTTTTTGTCACTGTTTGGCTTCTTTGCTTCTTCAAACCTTTATTTCTTTTCTACTGTACGTCTTTTCTTCCTGTTCCTCTTTAAACCCTCTCCCCTCACAAAATATCTTTTTATCTTCACAACATTGTCTTTCTGGCTATGTCTTAACCACTAAATAATACTGATTAATTAGAGTTTGCATAAGATGAGGTAGAATGATAACCAATCTGAAGAGAGGCTCTTAGCACTGAGTCATTCATTGGTCCTGATGGAGCTCATCTTATTTTTCAACCGATCCTCATTTCCCAGCTCCCTTGGATACCTTTCTGAGGGGCATAGACTCCTCACAGCTATTTACAGTCTGTCAAATCTTTAGTGTGCTCTGTGATTTACTTTGGGGACAGTGATGAGAGAGACTTTTTTATCTGCAGTAACAAAATATAGTCCTCTCTGTAACCTATTTTCATGGCTTCATCAAAAAGCTATTTTTACAAATATTTGCTTTAGTGCATAATGTATATGATTCTTACATGTCTCTTGTGTCAGTTCTTGGGCATAGTACTAGTAAATATTCCAAAACATAGGAGACTGATACTATAAGGATCAGGATCAGCTTTTGAGTTTGGAAATGATCATTTACTGTTGTTCAGGATTTTAATTCACCTCTTTTTTTTTTAATATATTTTTTTATTAATTAAGATATTACATATGTGTCCTTATACCCACGTTACCCCCTACCCCCCCCCCTCATG